TTCAGAAATTTAAAATTGACTATGAGGTAACCATCTGTTCTGTAAAGATCCCTGCCACTTTTGTCTTGGCAGTGTTATGTCTGTTCATACACATTTTAGTAGCCCTGATACAATTTGTACTTTTTATTTCAGACATTGTGTAGGTGGCTTTTGACAGTTAGGAAGAATTATCGAATGGTTCTGTATCACAACTGGAGGCATGCTTTCAACGTGTGCCAGCTGATGTTTGCAATGTTAACTGTAAGTATCGATTCAGAGAGACAGTTCCATAAGAGATTTTACTGTCATGATACCTTACCTATCTAAACTTGTTTTCCCCAACATTTGCTGTCTTTTCTAGTTATGATATTAATTTATTTGAAATAGAAATGTACAAAAAATTAGGACATCCAACTTATAGCATCACATATTTGGCAACTTTTTTAGTATTTTAGCAACAGTGTTATTGCAGGCACATTAAAATGACTAATAACAGATGGCAGTTTTGGAGGACTATATTATTATCTAGCTCTCAATTTTACAGCAGTGATTTCCCTTCCTGATTTTGCATTTATTTCTGTCTTTGAAAATGGAGGTCACAAGAATATGAAAGATTAGGATTGTTTGCTGTGTTTTTTCTGTCCTAGTTTCATTTAAATTGATATAGATGACATTGCCTTAAAACATTTTAGCAATGGTGTTAGCTGTGAACTATATGGTTCCTACAAACTCCGTAGACAGCATCGTATTGTGTTCTGCTATCAGCAATCATAGAGTCTTATCTCCTGTCGGCATAAAAGTAACTCTTACTGATGCTAATAATCTCTTTTACCTGTAGAAAACATTACTACAGGATAGAATTCATATTTTCAAAAGTTAGTAATGGTATTCTGCAAGTACAGAGTTTAAACAATTGGTAGAAAAAGTGGTAACACTTCAGTATTTATAGTTGGTTAATAGGGCTCAGTCAGGGGATTGTTATTGTAAATATTTATCTATTTATGTATTTATTGTAGGTGTGGATTTTATTTATATATTTATTTTGGAATGCTCCACGTTTCAACTTTATTTTGTACTAGAGATGAGCTACAGCCAAAATGTCAAATCCAAATTCCTTCATTTCAACGGAATATAGGATGAATTCCTGGATTCAGATTTGCTCTTAAGACTTTTGTTCAAGTTAGAACCAAAAATTACAGCTCTTTTGATCTGGATGTAGCAGAAACCCTGGGGAGCATCTGTACTTGGGAGACTTCAACCCAGGATGGTGGAAATCTTGTGAGAACAGATTATCTTGTAGATCTCATTCAAGGCAGCAGAAGCCCATTTGCTGTGAGATTTCTGCTGCCTGAGGAACGAGCTGTGAAGTTTCACTCCACAAACCTGAATTTTGTTCCTTTTACAGTCTCAGACTTGAATTCTCAAACCCTAATGTAATTCTAATCAAAACCTGGCTCCAAACACAGGGTCCATCTTGACCCTTAAAAGAAGGCCCTGCAGTACAGTGTTTGTGCAAACACATCGTTTGTAGCCTGAAATAAAAGTCTGAAATTTTGGTAAAGCATGTCCTAAAGTGATACAGCTTTCAAAGAAAACATAGGGATATGAAAAGTGAATAGCTTTAAAAGTTTTTTTTTGAAGACATGTCTGTTCAAATTATAATATAATCATAATAATTCAAATTACAATAACATTATGAACTATACCAGTAGTATCAGTAATAACTGATGCAAGTTGTTTTTTTGTGAATCAACTCTGTTTTTATCCCTTGAGTATTTGCATTTAAAATTTGGATCTTCACTATTATTTTCAAACTTGTTTTGAAGCAACAATTTGTTATTTCTGGCAAGAAACGCACCTCTTTATGGGAAAAAAAAGATAAATTTCTATCTTTTGGGTAAAACTGTGATCTTTTCAGGGTGAAAAGACAATTTTATTGTTTTTTATTCACCCAAAAGTGTTAAGAGTTAAGAAAATATAGCCTTTTCCCCCTGTGAACTTGTGAAAGTTTTTTCTTTTCTAGTTTTGCAGGTTTTAAACTTACACAGGTTTAAGACACCCCTAATATGAATAGCAATACTCTAGTGTTTCAGAACAGATACTACAGTTGCACATTAATCATAGAAAATCAAATTCAGGTACCAAAACAAAGGCTGCTTTTGAAAACATTTGTCTATTTATTCTTCAAGGTCATACAGGAAGCATGTAAGAGAGCCAGGAATAAAACCTGAATCTTCTGATTTGTTGCCCTAAATTAGTCACAATAAGATTATCTCTTTGAATCAAGGGCTGTGCAAATAAATTTCATATAATTCTTTTACACTATAAAAAATGAGCTGTCATAAATTGGTACAGGAGATACTACACATTTCTTTTTGTGACCAGTAATGTCACATTATGGCTAACTGACTCTTGTTTTAATGGAAGAGTGTAAAAATACTCACGTCAACAAAACACTGAAAGGAAATCCTGTAAATCAGTTGGAAGTTCCTACCTTCCCTCTATACCAGGTCTTGTACAAGATTGTATCATATGTTGAGACAGCAAACATATGGATGATGAAACCCACGGTGAAATATATAGGATCTAAAAGCATATTATTTAGGCACCAGTTAGAAATCTCTTGTTCAAGAATTAAGAAGATGTAAAACATTTTGTTGAAAAAATATATCAGCAATCAAAGCACACAAGCACTTTTATGATGCATTACCAATATATTGCTTTAGAACTGCATTTTGGAAAATCCTCCGTCATTTTTGGAAATTGAGCAGAAGCATCGCAAAGTTCAGCTACTTGTTCTCTTCCTTTCCCTCAGGAGAGCTTAATCATTTTTACTGTAAGACACCCACTGCTAGCCAGTCTCTGAAATGCTATTAGTATTACTTACCTTGTTGGAGGTAGCATTCTCAAAGCTACATAGCCTGAACTGTTACCGATACACATCAGATAAGACCTGATCCATTGCCCACTAAAGTCTTTTTGCTCACTTCAGCAAAGGTTGGATCAGGTTTGTTTCCCTGGGGACAAGTAGCAGCCGCACACCTTGTGCCATGCTGTTTGTCCCCAGAGAATACCTGTGCCATACACGCTGTGTCGTGTGGCAGGTTACCCTGGGTGGGGTATGGGAAGCTGGGGTTAGCAACTATGCTGGCCCCAGCACCCTTACCTGGGGTCCTGGGGGCCTTGGGGAGCTGCAGCCACAGTGCTCTGGGAGCTGGGAGCCTGACCAGCAGCTGGAGTGTGGGTGCTGCCAGCCAGGCTCTGGTTTTGGGTGGCATGTGTTACCACCATGTGCACCACCCTGCTTTTTTTTTTGGCATGGGTTTTTTTGAGCCTGGGATAAAAAATCCCCTGGCACTGCAAGGTAGCAGCGTGGGGAACACTTGCATGTGCAGTGTGTGGTGCTGCAGACAGGTCTGCAGTGCCACATACTGCACATCCATGCTCGTCTAGACATGACCTATGTGCTCATGGTATAGTAAAAATGTCATCTAGTATATCTCCATAACTCCCTTTTATTATACCTATCACAACCTCACTGCACTCAGGGCACCTCTCATTAGTCTCAAGGCACCTCTGAGAAAATGCCAGCTCTTATCTTTCATTTTTTGACTATAGAAAACAATAACACTATTCTTCTGCAAAACAGTCAGAAAGATCACAACAGGTCAGAAGGTTTTACATTGTGGATCCCTATTTGAAATTTCTCGGTTTATCTTGTTAATCGAGTGTAGATATTTTCACACCTGTGCACTGTGTATTGTGTGGCACCGTTACACTCTTAAAAGGATCTCATGCACCCGGGGATGCTGTGACACCCTGGTTGCGAATCACTGTATTACACAGATCTACAAAGTGAGGTAGAAGAATAAAGAGGTATGAAGCCATGCAGAGTTCTGATCTGCACTGTATTATTGGCTTGCTGTTTCATGATAGTGTCTCAGACCCGCTAAACCATGTGGCATTTCTTAAGACAAAGTATGTTACATTAGTCATTATGAAAGGAATAGAACAGAGATGTTCAGTGAATGAGAAATATAACTTGAAAGAGGAGTGAGAGTTGCAGTTGTTCTCATGGTGCTTTAATGTTTGGAAGAGTTTGCTCTGCTGCTTGTAACTGCATATGTTTCCCTGGTTAAACCTACAAGATATTTTTGTGTCTGAAACGTTGTGTTGTTGTGTCATTAGATAACGGATATGAAACCTTAAGCTAAACTTCATAAGCATGTTGACTAAGTGCATGCAATGGTAATTTTTCAAGATTTATAAGCTTGACATTTTAGCATTCCAAACACACCACTGATACATGACTGAATAGTAAAACAAAAGCCATAGCAAACTGTTTAACAAATGGAAATTGGACTGCATTGAAATCTGTTTGGTTCTGTCAAATGAGCTGTGTGTATATTCAAGAGGAAAAGATTTTTGTAGGTAATATCTTTTATTGAACCAATTGTATATAGGAGGGATACAGATAAGTTTTTGCGTAGAAATACCCCTCCTCAAGAGTACTTTCCACCGAAATTGGAACTCATGGGTACTTCATAAGCTTTCCAACTCTACAGTTGATCTATTAAAAGATACAATTCACAAAAACCACTGCCTCTATTTTTTACACACTATCACAGCTTCAGCATCACCCCAATTCTGTATATATGGCACCTGCATGCACCGAACCTTGCAGATTTCATAAATGATACAAAATGTCCTCTAGGTGGAGCCGTAAAGTAAACTTTGTAGGAGACTGCTTTTTTGAATGGGAAAGGCATTCTATCCTACCCTTTCATTGGAAGATGAAAAACGTGACATCAAGTACGGAAAAAAAACAGATCTTTTCCATTTCTTAAAGGACATGGCTTTGGTTCTCTTCAGTTGAAATCGTACTACACTTTGATACTCTTTCCCAAGCCTTACTTTCTGAATCCCATCAGTAATCACTATTTGGGCTGAAATAGTTTATTGAGATTTTTCAAGCAATGCTTATCATAGTATCTTAGTGCCTGAGTTCCTAACAATGACTGTAAAATTGACAAATCAAACCACTTTGCATACGTTGCTGCTTCTGACTTCAGTGAGAATAGGATTGGACTCAATGTGAGGCCCAGTTGGTCTGTCATTTCTTCCAGAGGTAGAAAGCCTGATCTTGTGAATGAGGAGCAAGACTAGCACTTTGTTGATTTGATTCAATTTCTACATCTGCTATTCATTGTCTTTGTAACCTTAGGCACATTATATAATTATTCAGTGCCCTGATTTTCCAT